CAGCTGGAGCTACAGGGAGACCCTGTCTCAAAAAGACCAAAAAAAAACAAACAAAAGAAAAAGAACTACGTGAAATTTTGGGTGTGATTTTGCAGCTGAATGTATCAGTAGTTTTCTTCTTGTTTTGCAGGTTTCCAAGCCACGATCAGTGCTCCACATATGGTAAGTTAACCTTGTTCATTTGCTCACAAACAGATTCCATGTTATTTAATGATTATTTTCCTAGAGAAAAAGACTTAAAAGCTTTAAAAATTTTAGTCATACATTTTTATTATCTACGAATTATGCAAAGTAGTGATTAACATCTTATTTATTATTATTACTTTTTGAGACAGGCTTTTACTTTGTAGTCCTAGCTAGCCTGGAACTCCCTAGTAGACCAGGCTGGACTCAAACTCACAAGAGATCTGCCTGCTTCTGCCTCCTGAGTTCTGGGATTACAGGTGTCCACCACCAGGCCCAGGTGATATCTTATTTTATATATAGTATCGTGGTGGTGCATACCTTTAATTGTAGCAGAGGCCAGAGAATCCCTGTGAGATAAAGGCCAACCTTCTATATAGCAAGTTCCAGGTCAGCTGGTGCTCTACAGGGAGACCCTTTCTGAAAAATTAAACTAATAAAATAAAAACAAAAAGAGAATAAAGTAAAAAATTAGAACATGGGGCCAGTGAGATGACTCATTGGGTAAAGGTGCTTGCCAAACCTGAATTAGTTCCTGGGACCCACACGGTAGAAGGAAAGAATCAACTCGCTCAGGTTGTCCTGACCTACACATTTGCACCTACACAAATATACACACACACTAAAGAAAGAAAGAAAAAAAATGTGAAAAAAAATTTAAATATAAAATTTGCCATCTTAACCAGACTTCAGGTGTGCATTTCCATGTGGTGGTAAGCATGCTCATGTTGTTATGTAACCAATCTCCAGAAGACTTCTCATCTTGTAAAGTGAAAGCTTATCTCCACTAGCAGCTTCCTATTCCATCTCCCAACTCTTGGCCATCTGCATTCTATTGTTTTGGTCTCTATGTATTTGAGTACTGTAGGTATTGATATAAGTAAGAAATTACCCAGTATTTGTCTTCTGTAGCACACAAGCTAGGTGAGCACTCTACCACTAAACCACTAAGTCATACCTAGGTTCACCCCCACCCCTTTTTGAGATAGGGTGTGCCTTTGTGGTCCAGGCTGGCCTTGAATTTGCAGTTCTCTACTTCCCAGGTGCTGGGGTTACACATGAGTGCCACCAACTCATGAAAACCATGTTTTAAATAGAAAAACAAGAATGCCAGTTAATATATGGGAAAGGAATAATAAGTTTTAGAAAACATTTTTTGTAATTATCAATGCAATAATTGAATTAGTCAAAGATTATTGATGACTCCAAAACCATTAAAGGAAAGACTGTTAAGGAACAAAAATAAATACTCATGTACTCTCATTATTGGTCCTTATTAATTACAAAAAAAAAAATAGTCTTTAAAAATAATGTATCGCCACCTTTTTTGGAGTGTCTACTAGTGAGAAAGCCAGCCTTCCTTGCCTCCTGATGTGGTGTGATGGGCGGTGCACAGCAAGAGCCATAGTGTTCTTAGGAGTCTTCCATCTAGAATGTAGGGACAATTAGACAGGACTCTTTAAAGAAGTCAGTGTCAAAAGCTGGGCATGGTGGCATACACCTTTAATCCCAGCACTCAGGAGGCAGAAGCAGGCAGATCTCTGTGAGTTCAAAGCCAGCCTGGTCTACATAGTGAGTTCCGGGACAACTGGGGCTACAGGGAGACCCTGTCTCAAAAAGACCAAAAAAAGAAGTCAGTGTCTGAAGAACAGAGCCTAGAGATGGGTGAAGAGCTGAGTGGAGAACATTCCAGTTTGACCAATTCATGAGCTTAGAAAGGATTGGGTGGAGGAGGGGAGCATCTGTAGAGAACATCTTGGGAACAAAGGAAGAAAATTGCCTGTGGTATATTGGCTGACACTGAGTTAATGATTTTGTTCTGTGGCACAGAGTGATCTGGGTGTGAAGGAGAATGTCTTAGTTTTTGTCAGATTCATGCTGAAGTATGTAGGAGTGAGTAATAATTTAATCATGATATTTACAGTCTATTTTCAGATGATTTGGTAAAGGTATTACACAGTATAAACCGATGATATTTTGTCAGAAGAAAAGCATGTTCATTGTATTTCCAATTTTTCTCTGGAGTTGAATTTCTTCATATCTAAAATATAAACCATTAAACATCTGCTAGCTTTTAGACTTGGAAATGAGCATGGTTTTAATCCAGTAAAAGATTAGCTGTAGTAGTGAAAGTATGGAGAAAACTAATTGTGATTAACGGCCTTGACATTTGAAATCAGAATGGAACTTATAATAAATTGTGTGTGTGTGTGTGTGTGTGTGTGTGTGTGTACGTGTGTACGTGTGTACGTGTGTACGTGTGTATGTGTACATGTACGTGCTGGCATACACATAGGTGTAGGTCAAAGGACCACTTTATGAGATCAGTTCTCTCCTTCCACCTTTATGTAGGTTTTGGGGATTGAATTCTGGTCACCATGGGGATTGAATTCTGGCCACCAGGCTTAAACCACAAGTGCTTTTATCTGCTAAGCCATCATGCTGGCCAATACACCCATTTCTTTTAAATACTATTTATTTATTTATTTATTTATTTATTTATTTATTTATTTATTTATTTTTCATTCATTCATTCATTCATTCATTCACTCATTCATTTTTGTCTTTTTGAGACAGGATCTCCCTGTAGCCCCAGCTGACCTGGAACTCACTATATAGACCAGGCCAGCCTCACTCACAAAGCTCCACCTGCCTCTGTCTCCCAAGTGCTGGGATTAAAGGTGTATGCTATCACACCTGGCTTAAATGCTGTTTATTTTCTTTATCCTTATAGAATTCTGGACTTGGTTGTTTTCTTGTGTTGTTTAACTAGTTCCTTAAAATTTGTTTTTGTGAGAAAGGGTCTCAAGTAGCCCACACTGCCCTTGATGTTGCTCTATACCCCAAACCGACCTTGAGCTCCTGATCCTCTAGCCTTTACCTCCTGAGTACTAGGATTATAGCCTTACAAGCCCTTTCTCCAAGAGCACTTTGTAAATATTTCTTTCTTTCACACCACATCAGGAGGTCCTTGATGTCTGAGCCCCCACTTTTACTTACTGGGATAAGTAGTCTTAATATTTTTGGTAATAGACATATAATCAGGCATTGAGTATACAGTTTGATGAATGTTTACTGTGCTTATATGCACCACCACCACCCACACCAAGATACAGGATACTTCAGCATCTCAAGAAGGTTCTCTCATGCCCTTTCTTAGTCAGTTCCCCAATTCCCAAGGTAACTGATGTTCTGACTTATCATCCAGAAAAGTTGTATAGACTGAAGTTTCCATTCTGTTCTTCATTTTGACTTTTCCTATTTCTGATGATGATTCCTAAAAATTTAGCATAACTTCAAACTTACAGAAATGTAGGAATTGCAATTCCAGTGGACCTTTTCCCATACTTTGCAAATATTTTCTACCACATTTCATTTATTTGCTTCCCCCTAAATATATGTATTTGTGTATATATTTCCCTTTATTTTTGAGTTCTTTGAAAGTCAGCTGCTGGTATAATGTTTTTTACCTTTTAAAAATAAGAATATTCTCGAGACTGGAGAGATGGTTCAGCTGTTAAGAGCACTAGCTGTTCTTGCAAGAGGACCTGGGTTTTTTTGAATTTCAGCACCCACATGGCGGCTAACAACAATTCGTAACTCCAGTTCCAGGGATCCTTTTCTGTCCTCTGCAGGCATTGCACGACATGGGTACACTTGCACACATGCAGGCATAACACTCATACACATAAAATAAAAATAAATAAATAAATAAATATTGAAAAAATATTTATTTTCTATGTATATGAGTGTTTTGCCTGCATAATTACAATTATAATTATAATGCATAATTGTACCAAGTATATGCCAGGAAGCTGGAAGAAGATATTGAATCCCCTGGAGCTAGAGTTACAGGCAGTTGTGAGCTGCCATGTGGATGGCTGGGAAAAACAAGAACAACAAGAGCTCTTATGAGCTCTCTCTCCAGCCCT